CCCCTTAGTCCCCCACTCTCTCCCTTTCTCGCTTTCACTCCTCCCGCCCCTCCCTCTCTCTCTCTCACCCCTCTCCTCTCTCACTCCTCCCCTTTTTTCCCTTCCTCTCTCTCTCCCTCTTTCTTTCCCCTCCCTCCTCTCCCTCTTTTTCCCCTCCCTCTCTCTCTGTCTCTTATTTACTAGTTCAAATTTATGTTTATATTCCTAGATCTTCTGGACTCTACCAACCCTGAAAGAAGGGGACATTTTGCTCAAAGAGAGGAGGCCAAACAGATAGCCAAAGACAACGGACTTCTGTACCTGGAGACCAGTGCCTTGACACAAGAGGGAGTCAAAAATTGTTTTGATGAGGCCGTGAGTTCTTACTGGTATCATCTTAAAGGTTGTTAGTTTGCCTTTATTTGATTTAAAACAACAACAGAATATCTATCTTGAATAGCTGTTGAGCTATATGGGATTGAAGGTGGGGGTCGCCCTGTGTGCATGTGAGAGACAAAATTAGTGAGAAAATGGCTGCCAAAGTTTGGTGACATCCAAAGCTGGAGTGTCCTTGGAAACTGCCAATTTACATTTTTTGTATCTTTGATCAACGTTTTCCTGGATATTATGCACATAAATCAGATGCGTTTTTAAATCAACGTAGAAGGTATTGATAGAAAAAATTAATTGACAGCAATAAAATTTACCGAACTGGCAAAAACCCCCCGGAGTAGCTACTCGCCTGATCTAGGATTTCTGCCCATGTTCCAGATGAACGAATTCGTTCGATTAGCCCCGCCTGGCCTGCGGCTTCTGGCCCTTGTGGATTTCTACGCATCCGTGTTCTGGCCGGTGGGGACTTCTTCACATTCTCCTTTAAAATTCGCGTGATCAATCGCGCAAGATTCAGTCACTCACTCGGTCATTTCTTGTCCTACAAGTCAAGAGTCGGATTGGTTCTAACGTGAAAGTTTGACTCTGACTGCAATTATCTGACCAAATTGACATTATAATACATGTCTTGTATGAAGATGGGACTGGCCATACTGTGTACAATAATGACTGTATTGCACCGGGTCAGCTTGTGAACCAACGCTGAGAGAAAACGACAGGAATTAATAATTCTAATAACAAAAACGCCCCCCCCCCCTTCTCTCTCTCTCTCTCTCTCTCTCTCTCTCTCTCTCTCACTCTCTCTCTCTCTGTTTGTCTCTGTCTATCTCTCTCTCTCTCTCTCTCTCTCTCTCGTTCTCCCACACACTCTCTCTCTCTCTTTCTTTTTCTCCCCCCTCCTCTCTCTCTTTTTCTCTCTGCCCGAAGACAAAATTTATCGCTTTCAACTCAGCGCTGGGAACGCATGTTTGTTTACACTCGTATCACGGGCCGTCATGCGCTAAGAAGATGAGGGAGATCTAGCGCCCAAGTCTCGTTCAGACGCGAGATAGGGCAATTGAAACGTCTTGGTAGTAGTTAGACAATCTTTTATAGCATCGCCTCGCTGCATTTCTATTGTTAGTAACTTTGTCCCCGGCATTCAGATGAATGATAATGATTAAATAATTAATAAAGGGTGATATATCTAGGGGATCTACAACAATGTAGTCAACTCCCAAGGGAAACCTCGGAAGACGAGGAAAAATAGATTGCGGAAAAACATCATCTATGATCTATTTTGGGCCAATCACAGAGGTGTGCTAGCAGGTGCTTTTAATAGCTTCATGTTGCTCGGAAGGCCGCAAGGCCGTGTTTACACTAGCTAATACGGGGTGCCCACTACGGATGGATCGCCCGACTCGGTCGCCTCAAAAACAAACTTGTTTGTTTTCAGTTTCAGGCGATCAAGTTGGGCGATCGGCCTGATCCAGCTGTAGTGGGCAGGCACCCTGTATAAAACTAAGACGAGATCTAGGTGACCGGCTCCGGGTGGGCAGAAAATGCTAGCTACCCGAGGTCGCAGAAATCCTCACAGGCCAGTAGCATCAGGCTACTAGACTGAATTCGGTCGACTAGCCTGACGCTAGTCACCCGATATCGGTCAAAGTCACCCGACATCGGGCGAGTAGCACCGGCCAAAAAAAATAATTAAAAATTCATTGATTTCCTTTCAATGTTTTGACAAGTGTCTGATTTCACCGCAGTGTCACATAATTTCTCTTTCTTTCAGGTCAGAAGGGCTTTGAATTTCTCACATTCAAAGCCAAAGAAAAAGGGCGGGATATTCTCTCTGCTGGACAAGAAAAAGGCCAACTTGCCTATTGCTCCAGTCATGCCTCCTGCAGGTATGCCACAGGGAAATGTTTTTGTTTTGTTTTTTTTGGGTACGGTTCTGTAAAACATTTTTGTTTTGTTTTGTTAGGTTGTTTCGTTTTTGTTGCATATGGTAACTTTTTGTTAGGTTTGTTACAGTGTGAAGTTTTTGTTGGGTATGTTACAGTGTGAAGTTTTTGTTGGGTATGTTACAGTGTGAAGTTTTTGTTGGGTATGGGTTTTGTTACAGTGTCAGGGATAACAGTGGAACACTTTTATGTTGTTTTTATTAGGTGTGGTGCGGTGTGAGGTTTTTGTTTTGATTTTTTAAAAATGTTTCATTTAACTGTTTGTAGGACATAGTGTGAATACACATTTTTATATTAGAACTCGTGGTGTCTTTGTGGTAGGGGTTATGGCTCTTCAGCTCTGACACAGAAGGTATGAGTTCGATTCATCTTAAATAAATTATATATAACTGTTACAATGTTGGAAAGGAAAGTGACACATACAGTTACTATTTATCATATTTTCAGTCAACAGTTTGAATGTATTGAGCCTAACATTTTGAGAATAACGCTTTATTGCGGTTGCATGTGGTTAAGAAATCTTTCATCAAAATTAAAATTCTAAATTTTGAAAAAAAACAACCTAGAACATAAAAATATACATAAATCAGGTTCAGTTGTTGAAAGAATGGAACAGTTTTTTTCTCTCCTGCTTTCTGGGCTTTGAACATTTGAACAGTTGCTGATGATATGTATGTAATTGTAACTTTAGATGTTAAACGACTCCCATCAACATAATCTAGACCAATTATAGCGCTAAAGAAAATGTTTTGCTTTTTTCTAAACACATGCAATGAGGCCTACCAGTTATTATTTAATGTTCTGGCTATTGTATGTTTTTACGCCCCCCCCCCCTCCCCGCCCCCCACTATGTACATAATCTTGAGCAATTACTGCAAAAGAAAAATAGTACAGTTCACTTTGCTTGTGTTGAGGCCGCTTGAGTTGAACTTCTTTCAAGTTGATCTTTTTCTCAGGTCCCAGCGCCTCTTCTTCTTTACAGGTTCCAACGGTTAAGTGGAACTTTGGATGGGTTTATCTTTTTTTCATTACCCCGACAACATCGACTCATCTGTATTCGACCGTATATCATTTTCTATAACTGTTTCTGCTTTAGGTAAGGCACCATGGATTGAAATACAGACATCCACGTTTGCTGAGGACTGGTACAAAAGTTTGCAGGACCCCAAGTTCCATGACGTGACTTTCCTGATGGACAATCAAACACAACTTCAGGCTCACAGCCTCATTTTGAGCTCAGCGTCCAAGTTTTTCTCAAAAGTCCTGGCCGCTAGTCTCCCTCCTGCTGTAGGTTGTTGACCATGACCTTCTGTCAAATCTTTTGTTCTTGTCTTTATCGTCTCTGAAATACTGTCAGAATTTTCAACGCAGGTTTCTCATCATCAAGGAGAAAAGTGGTTGTCTTAGACAGGTGGATGTCTTGGGCAGTGATATTATAAGATAGGAAAAAAAATGCAAGGATGGATTTGGTAGTGATCATTTGTACAGGTGATTGTCTTGGACAGATATGGCTGTTAGAGTTGGTTCTGCTGGACTTAAATATATGCCCAGTTTTGCTGAGAGGGAGGTAGAACTTCAATCTAATAAAACCAACATAGCTATGAATGTTGGAAAAGCCATCAGATGTTCAGGGTAAACTGGAGTGAGTTTGATGTTGCTTCAGTCTTTCATTCGTGTCTCTTAAATCAAGTTCTGTTGACGTCGGCATCTGTGGTGTAGCAAATAGGTACTTTGCTGTCCCATACAGGAGACGTGAGTTCAATCTTGCATTTGGAGAATTCTTGTTGAGTATTGTCAGTCTTTCTGCTGGGATGTTGTATCCATCCCAGCCTGTGTTGAGTCTAGGAGGCAGGATCGAAGCCAGCCTCCGAAATAATCTACTTTCTAAATAAATTATGTCGGGGAGGGCATAAAATGAAATTGAAATGGTATAAACATTCCAATTTTCCAATTTAAGTTTAAGCAAATGGGAAAAAAAAGTTCTTTTTAGTTTGAATAGCTTTCATGTACTATTGTAAATTGGACTTATTGGAATGCACTTAATTCTGGTAATCCAAACCTTTATTTTTGCTAGATAAATGCTCTACATTTTATTGAAAGAGACCTAGAATTTCATTTTAAACAAACTAGAAAATTATTGAATTTGTCTTTTTTCTCATACCCTAGGGTATCACTCAAAAATGTGTAGATCTACTGTTGGCCAGCCGTTCAGATGTACTTAGCCTCCAATTAAAAAAAAATTGCAGTCTTTTAATTTGTTGTATCAGTTGCATAATTATGCTCAAGAAAAATGTTCAAGTTTTAAAATTCTTAATTTGAAAAAAAAGTTTAAAAAAAGATAGATCTATGTAATATATAGGTACGATTGTTAAAGAATGAAACCGTTTGATTTTCCTCTTTTCTGAATAATTTTGCTTCCTAGGCTTAAAAAAGTTGACCAGTTTGAAGACGATAAGTAGTGTATTGTGACTGAGTTCAAGTCATGTAAACGTATGTATTAGACATGGCTTTTCCTATCAAGATATGTTCAGTGTTTTATTTCTTGAACAGACAGAAATGTAATGTGCAAAAGAGGCAGAGTTCTTGATCAAGAATAAATTATTTAGAGAACTTGAACGAATGGGTGGCCAAAGTAATACATCTATATTGCTTGAGAGCATCCTAGCAGAGACGCGAGTGGTGAACTATGATTGTCAGTTTCAGATCAGGCAATTAAAGAGGAAGAAAAAGAAGAGGAAGAAAGAGTAGAAAGAGTACTTGTAGTATACTTTAAACTTGACATTTCCCCCAAGCAATATCTACAGTATTTGTGTTTTGGCGAAGAGGAACCAGTGCTTATATTATCTATTTTTGCACATCTGGAGTTTTTTGGTTTCATCTTAAAATTTGTTCATTTGACAATCTGTCAACTTAAATAACACACTTATTTCTTGAATAGAAGTCGAGATAGAGAATCTATTTGCAACTGAAAGAGGTCAGGGTTGTCTAGTTTCAGAGGTAAAATTAGTGAGAAATTGGCTGCCAAATTTGGTTGATTTCGGAAGCTTGAGAGTCCTTAGAACGTTTTATCAATGTTTTTCAGTAAAATCCATGCAGAAATATATTTTAAAATATACATGAAAGGTTTTGAGAGAAAAAAGAAAAATTAGTTTAAAAAAAAATGCTGAACTGGCTAAAAAATGCAAATACCTTCCATTTTATTATTTCGAAGAGAGCCTGATTTCACCACGATGCCTCACATTTTGTCTCCCGCCTCTATCTACAGAGCACACAGCAACAGCAGTTGCTTCAAATAGACGGATTTTCTTCTTCAGACATAGCAAGTGGAAAAGTAGAAGGTGACTGATGATTGTGCACATTTGTCATTCTTTGTTTCTTCTTGCAACTTACATTACCATATGCGTCACGACGCGGTAGAATCAGGCGCTCGTCAATTTTTGGGCATTTGGAGTTATTGATATAATCTGAAATTAAGCTGATTTATTTGCCTTGCATCCAATGAAATAAACAATCATTTACTTTGAATAGAACTCAAGATATTTTCAATTGAAGGAAGTGAAGGTTGCCTGGTTTCAGTGGTGAAATTAGCGAGAAAATGGCCGCTGAAGTTTGAGAACTCCAATAGCTAAACAGTCTTTGATAACTGAAAAATGACACATTTTGAGCCTTTAATCAATGTTTTTCTGTAAAATTCACATGGAAATGTGTTTTTTTATGGACATACAGAAGTTTAAGCAAAATAAAAAAAATTCGAAAAAAATTTCCAATGTGGCGGAGAATACCTGTTTCTCCGATTTCGTTATTTTGCCGAGCGCCTGATTTCACCACGCTGCCTCACAACATATGTAAGGCTGGCTGACAAAATAGTTTACTTCTCGCAATCCTGAAATGGCGATATCGTCTGAAAGTGAAAGTAGATACAGAGGTCAAATTGCTAAATTTTAAACTGATGCCATTTTCTTCCAGTTTAACACGTCTGTAAATTTATTATTCCATACTTAAATAGCACAAACTCAACCCCTATATTTAACTCATCAATGTCCATAGGGCTAAAATCCAAGAAGTAACTCGTTTTGTCAGCATGCCCCCTATTTATCCTCATGTATAGGATGCAGCTTACCAAAAAATCAGATCGAAGTTGCCCAATATCTTATCCATGGGATACAAAATTAAACTCCAAAAGCCCAGTGTGGGCCGACCAATTGAACAACTTTGAAAATCAGGTAAATCTGGACACCATCACTGTGAAATAAAATAGCTACTCCTTTGTTGGACTGTAGATCTAGATCTATGAGTGATGAAAAATACGTGAATAAGAAAGGTTGATTTGTTATGGATTGAAATATATTAAGTTACTTATAAAAATCCATAAACAAAGATGGTGGTGCTTGCCATGAAAAGGTTGATGTTTCTTATCTGATGAACATAGAAAAATATGATTTATACCAGAACTGTAGCTCTCAAGTCTACTTGCATCTTACCCATGCATATGTCCATATATGCGATGATATACGGTATACATACAATATGAAGGGCTTCATCACGATAATATCAGAATAAAGATGATGTTTTGATTCACAGTCTGTTTGTTGTTGAAGAAAAATCTAAAGATATATTTGAGGCTGAGCAAAGAAAACCTTTCAACTCTATTTTCTTTGTTATCTTCCGCTTCTCTTGTATCTCATTTTTCTCTCTCTTGACCATCTCTATACCTCTCTCATACTGATCTTCAGCAATGAATGCAGCGAGTTAAAAATCAGAAGTGTCTATCGTAATCTGTTTCAATCAGTTGTCTGCCCAGTCCTTTCTTTTTTCTTCATCTTTTTATTCGATACAGTTTCCTTTGTTTTACTTTTACTTTCGACCCAACCTAATTTAGCTTCATATTGCTGTAAGCTGTGCTAGATTTCTCTTAATTCCTCATTTTCGGTTTTGCTTTATTGGGGTTTTGTTGTTGTATCATTGCATTTATCATTTTATTCTCTCAAATGCAATCTATTTTGCCAGATATGATAATTATCAGTGCAGGATTTTCATAACATTCTTTCCTTTTTTTTTCTTCTTCTTTTTTGTTGTTACTATTTTCAGTAGACTACTCCTCAACAACATGTCTCTCTTTTCCCAGGCATCAGTTCTGCCTTTGTTCAGGAGATGGAAGATGGCCGACAACACACCACAATACAGCTCAGTGGAGATATTCAGGCCAGGATGTTTGTGCGTGTGCTGGAGTTTCTCTACACAGGTATGGAGGATGGATACAAAGTGTAGTGTGTAGTGTGGAGACCTACGTAGAGTAGTGCGTAGTGTTGAAATATATTCACGCACATAGAGTAGTGTGTTATGTGGAAAATGGAAACATACTTAAAGTAGTGTTTAGTGTGGTAAATAGAGACATACATAGAGAAGTGTGTATTGTGTAGCGTGTAATGTGGGCAATGGAACCATACATTGAGCATTGTGGGAAACTCTTGTCTTGCTGTGTTGTTAACATTTGGTTATACAATCCCAATTCAATGAATTGTTTGACGCCTCTATGCCACACTGCTGTACTGTAAACTTCCCGTCAGACCATCTCAGTTTACAAAACTACTGTTCGCTTTCATCTTGCTGTACCGTAAACTTCCTATTAGAAATTTTGAATTAAAAGATTTGTGTCATGACGGGGTGTAATCCGGCACTCGTCAATTTTTGGGCCTATGGGGTTATTGGTATCATCTTAAAGCCTGTTCTTTTGCCTTCCTTTTGGTGAAAAAGATATCAATTTATGTTAAAAAGAAGTCGAAATATTTGCGATTGAAGGTGGTCAGGGTCGCCTGGTTTCAGAGGTAAAATTAGGGAGAAAATGGCCCCCAACGTTAGGTAAATTCATTAGCTTATAACTGATAAATTATATATTTATACCTTTAATCAGCTTTTTTCAGTCAAATTTTCGTGGAAATGTGTTTTATATGGACATAAAAGGTGTTGAGCCAAAAAACAGAAATTCAATAAATAATGCCTAACTGGCTGAAAAATGTCTGTTTCTTTGATTTCTATACAGTGGAATCCTGTTATAATGAGAGGGGGGGGGGGGGGCGGAGCAAAATGTCCGTTATAGCAGGATTCTCGCTATAAGGGATCCAGTAATAAGTTCAAGGGAAACTGTAAAGTAGGCCTAATCTATGAGTTTGGTGTTCTGTTTTTCCTTTTGCTATCTCCCCTGATGATGATTTTGTTTCAACATGACCCCTAGGTCTTACTTGATCAAAAATTGAATCAGGTTTGTTTCTCTAGCTCTAGATCTAGCGATGTGGACTGACAGCTTGACGTTGGCAACGCTGTGTTTTCCCCCCACCCCACCCCACCCCACCCTGTGGTGCATTCTGTCTGCTTGTGCACGTCACACATTCGCTCCATCCATCACATTGCTGTGACATCTCCATCCCCGCATCAGAGAAGTGAGAGGCATGGCAGGCCTTGATAATCTAAACTGGCCTGTCACGCGATGCGTTCTGCTTGTCTGCGCATGCCACACCCTCCCTACTCAGTTGCTCCGGCCTTCATTGTTGACGCACATGGGCTCTCCTATTCTTTGTTTTGTAAGATCTGCAACAAGTTTCTCAACTGGCGAGGTCTTGCATTATGTATAATTGGCCTATGCCATGTGCACAGCAGCAACAATATTCTGCTATAACCGACTCGCAAGTGTGTCTGATAGCGCTATAGCAGTATTTTGTTTACTAAGGTAAAGAGGAGAAAAAAACCCAGGGTTTTAGAATAGTGCCTTTATTACAGACTTCTCGTTTTTTCCGGACTCGTTATAAGTGGACTCCTCTGTATTTTGATTAGCGCCTGATTTCACCATGGTGCCTCACATTTGTTTATCAAAGTCTGTTTATGTCTGTGGCATAGTGGTTAGGCTCTCCTCCGCAGCACTTGCAGTACGCAGGAGACCCGAGTTTGATTTTGGAGTAGGGAGAAACTTTTTCCAGTATCTCGGTCTTTCTGTTTGGATGTTGTATCCCTCCCAGCTTGGGTTAACCTTTAAAGGCAGCTAGGTCTGAAGTTCACCTCCTGAATGATCTAAACTGTGCCCATGGGGGTGTTAAAGCACATAATATAAATATATATATTTTAAAAAAGTTCTTTTTCTCTGTGACAGGAGTGCCGAGACTCGCAGAAGATGTGTCTGAATCAGATCTTCAGGAGCTCAAGAGAGTTGCTGGAATCTTTGACTTGCCTTACCTAGCCACCATCTGCGATAACATTGTGCAAGAGCAAGACTTTCTCAACCCGAGCATCGGGACGTATCTGAATGACGAGACAGCAGCCAAGATGAAAGAGCTTTACTTCAACAAGCCCACGCTGGCTGATGTTGTATTCATTGTTCAAGGTTTGTTACTTTGCTAGATCTACGATCCAATGGATCTGAAAAAACTTCTTTAAAAAGAAAGATAATCTGTTTCGTTTCTTTGGATCTGACTTCCACCCCACATTTACATTTTTTACTGTAGCATACAGAAGATCTGCCGTCGTAAGGGAAAACGACGAATGGTCCGGCGCAGGTAGCGAGGCAAATTTTTCCGGAGAGGCAAAAACTGTTTTCACTTAACAACTCTTCTATTTTTCACTCTTTTAATCTGTAATTCACCAGATATCTGATTGAGGTGTTCATAAAGCAGTTTCTAAAGTTTGAATGGTTTAGGTTAAAAAGTAGCAAAGTTATTCAACATTCGTCGTTCTCCCTTACACTGCGCACCCGCAGGTGAGCCTTGCGATGTAAGCAAAAACGACGAATGGTACGGTTCGTTGTTCTCCTTTACACTCGTGAACGTTTATGGGCGTAGGCGATGGTCAGTTGTGATGCATTATTGACAGTAATGACTGTGTACTGGTTACTACAAATAAAAATAAGACGTATACAAACTAGCTATTATACGTATAAAGTTAGGTGTTTGTTGTATCCCAACTGTGACTCGGTAAACGTCCTTTGTTTCCCTTCCTTGCTTGGCTAAATACTAAACAGTCAGTGTAAAAATCAGAAGTGCACATATTTTCAACAGCTTGATTTAAAACTGTCTCATTCGGAACCAAAGTTTTGTCTCCACGATATCTCTTTCTTGTTTTCTCTTCAGAAGCGAGTTTTACTTTTACTTTTATGTTCGCCATTTGCAAAATTTTCCCTGCAAGACCAAAGGGATCAACATGTTACAATGTCAATAATACGATCAGATCATTGTAAAGTCAAACTTCCAGGTAAGAAATGTAACAATCTGACAAGACTGTATCACAAACGCTTTCGGGAGAGGTAATGCAACGCTTTGTATTTAATAAAGGCAGTTGATCGGATTGGAAAACATACCACAAAGTAGAGGTCGACAAAGACAGTTTGAATCTGCAAGACATTATTATACTCGATCGTAATGTCCTTCAAGTCATAAAAAATCGTAAAGCAAAACTAGGTGTCGCCACAATACGTCCACTTTTTAAGTTGGACAAAGAAATTTACTCTCATAACGCAGTGTCATTAATTGGTAATTCTATAATGATGTCGACCAGTGACACGTGCTAGACAAATTGTGGCACTATAACCGTCGTTGGGATTTGGGATGTCAAATGACTGGACAGCAAACTAACATGACGTTAGTCTGAACATCTGGCGGACACTAATATACAGTGCTAATAAATTTCTCCCTAAATACTTTTTTGACCCTCCCATCCCCACCCCTTTCCCCCTGTTCCCATCCGTTTTCCCCTCTCTCCCGCCTTCTCTTGTCAATTCACACCATGAGCATAGGCCTAATATCGTCCCTCAAAACACGAACTAGCGTAAGCCACATTTTGTTAGTTTTGCAGGAGAGACGTTTAAAGATTTGGGCGATTTTCACCATCCCATTGTGGCGTCAAATAGCCGATCCTGCTTTTAATATTTTGACATAGCGTGTGTGGGCCAACTACTTTTCAATTGGCTAGAAGCATCTTTGTGAGAATAGTAGGTTTTGAAGGAAAAATAACCTTTTTGTCCGATACACTAGTACGTGCTACGTCAATGACAGCCTCGATGTGTGGCTTACGTTACTAGATTGTTGGATACATTAGTACATGCTTTTGTATTCTAAAGCGTATATTATACTATATATACGTTCATTGCGTGGCTTACGCCTAAATGGTAACTTCCAAATAACAATAAAAATGCAAAAAAAGATCAATTTGGTTTAAATTCACGGGTTATATTATCCGTGACAAATGATAATGTTAACAGCAACTCGGAATATGAAGGCGTCAACTGTATATGATTTTAAAAAATAGTAACTTGCAGTTCCATGATATTGTTCCACGAAAATGAGTCTCCTGTATCAGATCCTCTTCGTGCGTCCAGGATTCTGAAGTCTTTTGATAAGCCTTTGAGATCCAGAGAGTCTTTAGACTTTAGACTGCATCTGATTCACTTGATAAGGCTTTTGAAGTCGAGCGACAGACATCACTGTTGCTACCTGAGAAGGAGGGAACAAATCCCCAGCCCTCTTCAGGGCATGTCCTATTGCACTGTGTGTAGAATCACCCTTGTTCTGACGATAATTTGTTTCAAAGAACCTCAATGAAATCTCTTCAAGATTCACACTATTGCTCACTGTGTACAACATCATCGCAGACGTAATCGAATTTTTGTTCTGACCACTGCATCCATGGGCAAAAAGATTTTTGATGCCACGGTCGTCCTAAAACTTCAGGGCACAGTGGACTGTAGTTGAAATTTCCGAGGATCCACGTTTGCTTTGCGTTTCATCCCAAACGAAGCAGTGACAATCTCTGTTAGCAATGTATAGAAAGTCAGGTTGTAGTTCGACAATCGCCTTTTGTAAACGCTGGCGCTCCCCTGAGACATAGGGAGGTAAATGACCTGCTGCAAATCAAAACTTGCACAGAGAATGTTTTCACTTTCCTGAGCCTCTTTCTTGCACTTGCATACGTCCTTTATTTCCCTGCCCTTTTTCTTTTTCTCCCACATGGATCTCAAACTTTTTCCTAAAACCTATCTTTGTTTCTTCATTTCCTTGATGATAATTGTCACAAAGAGAGCACTGGTCTTTACTTGGTCGGTGGATTGACAGATTTTTACTTTTGAATACATGGTTGTATGTAGTGAAGCTTGGTGGCCTTGTTCTGGGTATCCATTCCTGGATGCACATGTGGTACATGTGTGTGGTACATGTGTGTTGTACATGTGTGTGGTACATGTGTGTGGTACATGTGTGTGGTACATGTGTGTGGTACATGTGTGTGGTACATGTGTGTGGTACATGTGTGTGGTACATGTGCCGTTTGCTGAGTTCAGGGCTCAGATACTCTCTTGTTGATTTTTCTCTACAGTAATGAGATTCGACTTTGGGAAATCTGTTAAAGGGATCTGATATTGCTTTTCGCTCAAATGCATCTCTTTCTCTTTCTGCCTCAGATTGTCCCCCACTTCGTTTGTCCTTCTCAGCTATACCAGTGGAAGTAACTTTGTTCAATGCCGTTCTGGCGCTCTGTTCTGAAATGCCCAAAGTGTTAAAGAAAAACAATTTGCAGACTGGAACAAAAATGTCCCCAACTGTAAGCATGTACTGTCTGATATTACTTCTTCGTGATTCGCCTTCAGTGTATTTCCTCTTTATTTTACAGCATTTGACATGCCTCAAAGAAACTCCCGTTTCACTCTTAGATCTCCAAGGGAGTGATACGAATAAAAAATGGCCTGCCTCTGCTCGTCAGTAATTGATGAGCTTTGTTTCTTCTGCTTTGTACACGTGTCTCCTTTACATCTTGCTTTTATGAGTTTGGCGAGCACGTCTTTTTTGTCTTCATGCTTGTGTACTCTTGTCCCAAATTCCTCTTCATTTTGGCTTCCTTCTGCTTGTTTGATCTGAATTTCTCTTCCTTCCTAACTTCTTTCTCACCTCCCTCCACTGTGTACTGCTCGGGAAGTAGTCTTTGCATTTTTCCACCACCCTCATCAATGACTGTTTCCTTTGTCTGAAACTGATCGGGAGCATCAGTGTTCACATTCACACCAGTGGGAATCTTAAACTTTGAGGGGTGGGTGGTTGGCGGGTGCTCTGGTGTGGTTTGCTTCTTCTTTCCTATCAAACATCTATGGTCCTTATCTCCCGTCCTTTTTTTATGTTTGTACTCTCTTGTAACACCTCTTCTGGCGCTCATATGACCTTATGCAGTTGCGAGTGCCGTAAAACCTCTACTTAAACAAACATGAGGGCCTACCTACAGCTTTTACACGTTGTATTTTTTTCCTTTGACCTTCTTGTGCTTTTTCCATGTTGAACACATGATGCAATCTCTTCATTGAAATGATCAAAGCAAAGAAGGATTTCACAATCAGGACAAGCCGCACATACTTCAGCATTGCACCTTCTGGCCTCGCATGTTCCAGGATTGAATTTCGGATCGCCATCTGAGTCGTAGTCACACACTGACATTTTCATCACTGTCAGCATCGCTAAGCATTTAGTGTCCTTGAAGCACATACGTGTATCTATTTGTCCCTTGAAGTTCTCAGTGGCAGTAGGACACCATGACTTATGCAGTCTGTGAGTTTAAGACTTCACCAGGGTTCTGAATGTCAATCAGAGTTTGAACATGTCAAAGAAAGAGTGGTTGTTCAGAGCGGGATCCCATTTGTAAACAAAGGACGAGTAAAAAGGGACTTCTAGAAGTGGAGTCTGAGCATTCACTGCCTCACTCGAAACACACTGCACACGTGTAAGTGTGTAGTTTAGCTTGTCTTCCCGCTCTCTGGAAGCGCTGCGCAGTGTTTTTTTTGCCATAGGCTCAGCCCCGGCTGTGTGGCTTACGTTAGTATGTGCCGTATAATAAAAACACAACAATGGGTCAAAATGTACATCACGCACTAGCGTAACCAACAGTGTGTTAGTACGTGCTGTATCTTTTTGTATCTCTCTTTCTTTCTCTCTCTCTCTCTCTCTCTCTCTCTCTCTCTC